TATCCTTATTGTCTTCTTATTTTACTGAAAGAAAAGCATATTTATCCTCTTATTCAACTTGAAGAAATGACGGTGCCGATCATATATTAAACATTATTACATAAGTAGTTTAGTACCCACACCATTTACCAAACTTTATTAAATTTGAAGTAACATATTTTTTTAGCATTATTTATTCTTGGTTAGAGTTCTTAAATAGTAACATGGAATGAAAGATGGAAATTATCAAGTTTTCATATATCTATCGATCTACACTATTTTTTAAGCTTTAAACTTTATAAATAAAGATGAAAATATAATTTAAGACTATCACAAATATTTTCAGTATTGAAACCACATTTCTAGGCACTATTTGAAGGTAGGCTCTAATTTGATTATTTAGAGCCTAGGCTTTATGTAAACCGCACCTATTACTCATATTTTAAATTTTGATTTTATTGTCGTGTGCAACAACTTCAAATTCTCTCACGCTCTCATACATGTCGCGCTCACTCATGATTGAGCATACATCGAAGGGTTTATGCTCTCCCTATGCTGACATTGCTTCCTGACAACATGGATTCGCAATTCCTTAATACTTTGAATCAACGTTTAGCATAAGTAGAATCGCATCATGGATTCACAATTCCAAAAAAATTGGAATCAACGTTTCTCACAAGCAGAATCGCATTCTTGTGTAGCTAAGAATCACAAAGTCCTCGATATGGCTTCTTGATTCTAGTAATCCAGGAATCGAGATTTCTAAACTAGGTGGAATCGCATTCTGCAAAAAATGGAAACGTGATTTCTTTCTTTTAGAATCGACTTTCTCTCGGGAAAACACCGAATCGAGATTCTGAAACGGAAGTGCTACCCTCATAGGCGATTCGGGTAACTATAAGTAAGATCACATAAGGGAATTGCAATTAGAGGAAGTATGTGCAGGATATATTAAAACAAACTTGAATATAGGGAGAAAAACCGATGGATACACTAATGGAAACCAGTCGTAGGTTTCATGATTAGATGAGCAAGTTACTAAAGGATCCTAGCCAATATCAGAGGATATTCTTTATAATTACATAACTAAATATTTTTTTATGCCCTTAGTGTAGTTAATATATTTACGCATGCCCCTCAAAAACCTCATTTATATGTTGTGTATTGTATCCTGAGGCATCTCAAATCATCTCCTGGAAGAGGATTGTTGTTTACAAATCATGGTCATATGGGTGTCGCAATTTATATTTATGCATATTATTGACAATTCATTGAAGGTGAAACACAGGTTATTGTACCTTTGTTGGTGGGAATCTGGTTTCATAGAACAGTAAAAAACAAAATCTATGAGCCACATCAAGTGTTGAAACAGATAGAGGGCATTGCACATGAAGCAAGTGAAGTTATTAGGGTGAAAACTATACTGGCTGATCTGGGAGTTAGAGTTTAGCTACCTATGAACCTTAACTGTGACAATGAAGTAGCCATTCACATCGCTAAGAATCATGTATTCCATGAGAGAACGAAGCATATTGAGATAGATTGTCATTTCAAAAGGGAAATGCTTGCAGCTAGAATTATTTGTACTCCTCATGTGGAATCAAGAGATCAGTTAGCAGATATCTTTACTAAAGTTGTTTCCCATGATAGACTGAAAGATATAGTTGTCAAGCTACGCATGAATGAGACGTATGCTCTAACTTGAGGGCAAGTGTTGAAAGTACAGTTGTAAGTTAGGAATATGGATTGAATAATTCAGTTTGCAAGGTTAAGAGTGGGTTATAAACTCATTCAAGGGCATTTTTGAACTTTTTTATCCCTAATATAAAAACATGCGACTGACAACAAGAGGAGGTCACATCATTTCTCTCTCCCACTTTATTTCATGCAACTCTCTTTAATCTCTCTCTCAATATCGCAGACCTCTCTCCCCCTCTCATGCATCTATCTCTCTTCTTCCTCTTCATTCTCTCTCTCTATTTCTCTTCCTTCATCAGGTAGTTGCTGTTTAGAGAAGATATACATCCTTCAACTCTAGAGAAGGAGGCATCTAGTACAACAGCATAGAAAAGGTAAATTCCTTCTTGGGTCCACAGCGGAGCAGATTTCCCGACCATATTTTACAGAAGAAACGCAGGGGGCAATGATTCAATTGAATGATATATCTAAAAGTTAAAAATGAAAAACATAAAGAAGAAAAGACAAAAGAGGCACATATGATTCTACCATGAAAAACACACACTAAGGCAATGCCCTAACTCTTGTATCATAACATACATAACGCTACATCTTGAGTAAGACAGATTTGCCCTGATACATTACAGCAAACATTCTAACACTGCCCCTCAAGTAATACAGCATGTTTGAACATGTACAACTTGTTCTTTAAGACCTCCTGTCTATCTTTTGCAAGCCTTTTTATGAAGATATCAGTTATTTGATTTTTGGTCCCAATAAAGCGAGCATGTATCTCCTCAACTTTAAATTTTTAAAATGATAATCTATCGGATTGTGTTTAGCACAATAATCAAATATTGGATTTACTGAAATTGCAAGAGCACTCTTGTTGTTACAGTAAACTGCCGACTTGCATAATTTTGTTCCAACAAAAGAATATTTCATATCCATGAAATCTTAGAAACTATACCTGCAAGTGCTCGATACTCAGCCTCAGTACCGGACCTTACAATAGTTTTTTTGTTTATTGCTCCTAAATGAAATTAGATTTCTACCATAAAAGACACAATAACCTGAAACTGATTTTTTGGAATCTGGATCTCCAGCCCAATCTGCATCACAGTGCCCAATTATAGAAGTAATACTCAATTTATTCACATTGCTTCTCTCATAGAGCAGCCCATGATTGATTGTTCCTTTTACATGTCTGATTACTCTCTTCAACACTTCCATGTGAGCGTTAGCACGAGAATGCATAAATTGACAAACTTGGTTAACAGCATATGATATATCACGCTTGGTGAGAGTAAGACACTGTAAAGCCCCTATTAAACTTATGTATCTCTTTGGATTACCTAAAGGTTTTTCTTTAGATATCTGTAGTCTTTAATTCAAAGTAGCTAGTGTACAATATGGCCTGCAATCACTCATATTTGCCTTTTCAAGAAGGTCTAGGGCGTATTTTGTTGAGACAACCAAATTTGATTCTCATTTCGATATACTTCAATCCCCAAGAAGTATCTCAACTAACCAAAATCCTTCATAATAAATCTATCATGCAAAAATTTCTTGACACCATCAATCAGGTCTATTGAACTCTCAGTAATTATAATGTCATCAACATTAAGTAGGATGATAATAACACCTTCCTTGTTGTAACAAATAAACCATGAATGATCTAATGCTGCCTCGATAGTACCCTTTTCTTTTAACTCATTTTGAAAAAATTGAAACCACGTACTTGTAGCTTGTTTTAACCCACATGTAGATCTTTTCAGCCGGCAAATATGAGCTTCTAGATTCGCTTCATAGAAACCTGGTGGTTCTTCCTAATAGAACCTCTTCAACCAACTTTCCATGCAAAAAGGAATTCTTAACATCCAACTGAAGCGAGACCAACTATAGGCTAAAGCAAGGGAAATAGCCACACAAACTGTCACTGTCTCAACAACAGCACTAAATGTTTCATCATAATGAAGTCCATGTTGCCCTTATTGCAACCAGCTAAACTTTTCCACACTGCCATCTGACTTGTACTTCATTCTAAAACCCCGCTTGCAGTCCACTACATTTTTATCTGCATGTCTAGCAACCATCTCCCAAGCCTGATTTATGTAGAGAGCCTTAAGCTTTTCTGTCGTAGTCTCGATCCACAGCCGACCTTTTCTTGCCTCAAGATAAGTTCTTGGCTCTTTGATTTTGACAATTTCACACACAACAACTTGTAAAGCATGAATGAAGGTGCCATAATTACAATCAAGTGGGTTCTTTGTTCTGGTAGACCTGTGGGGGTTTTTAGTGGTCTCTTGAATTTCAACTGGCCCATCTTCTTGCCATCCTTCATATCTTCTTCTCTGATACACTATAATATCCTTGGCTGATTTATGAGGGCCTTCAATTTTATGGGAGTCTTCATTTGGACTCTCTTCTTACTGCCCTTCATGGCTTCTTCGATATGTATTATAATATCCTTGGCTCAATTTTATTAGAGCCTTCAATTTTGATCCTGGTCCATATATTCCTCGCGCTCTTCCTTAGGTCTTGGAGAAGTTTCATGAATTATCTCCCTCTCAAGACTATGCGGCTCACCACTTTTATCAACATCTCTACCAACAAAAAATGATCTCATTTACAACTTGATTCATGGGCTGACTATGAATTTCATGAGGCACCGGCACCTCCCTGCCTCTTGTCACGTACATCTAACTTCGGGGATAAATTATTTCTCTACCTCTTGTCAACATGAACATAGGCATAACATTCAAACGAGCACCACGTGGAATGATCAGGGTCCTTCCCAAGTAGAACTTGGTAAAGTGATTTTCCATGCAGAACATCTGTAAGTAACCTATTCATGAGATAAACTGTTGTATGAAATTACTTTGTCCATAAAAATTTAGGAATTCTACTTATAAACATCATGGACAATGCAACTTCATTGATATGCCTATGTTTTCTCTCTGCTACTCCATTTTGCTCATGTGTCTACATATGATATTTGTTGTTTCACTCCATTAGTTTTTAGATGGGTTCTAAAGCTATGGAATGAAAACGCTCCCCCTCCATCACTAGAAAAGTATACTATAAGTTTTTGGAGGATTTCTTCAATAAGGATTTGAATTTCAACAAAGATTTTATATTTCTAGTCATGATAATACATCCGAGAACATAAAAAATCAAGAACAAATTTAAAAATCTAGTTACACCAATGAAAGTGGTTTACGAGTTCTTAAACACAAATTACTTAAATTGAGAACAAAAAAATAAAAATAAAAAATTAAGAAATCATAGAAGCAGCATGGATAATTTATAGAACATAAAGAAGCAATGAGGTAAGGTCATACGTTTGCTCATCAACGATAACATAGGTAAATGAGGAATTCCCACTCTCAGAAACCTGCAAATACAGTGAACATGTCAAGAGTAAGAGAGAACAAGAAAAGGCTGAGAAGTGAGAAGCTGCTAAATGATATACAATAGGATCAAAGGATGTGAATCTACAATTTTATCCATGTCGACAGTGTATTTTTTTTTTTGATCATTTTTTGAAACCATGGCTACGAGGGCACTCGTGCATGAGAGCAAAAGACTCCATAGTTTGAGATGAACTTCCTTTCACTTTAATTGAGTTTTGAGCTGATCAACAAGGTAGCATAATTATAGTCAGTTAAGAAACTTCTTTCCCAACAGTATAAATTCAAGATTCAAGCAAAGTAAGTGCAATGCAGATCATTATGTAACATCAAGAGCAAATACATAGACATTCAAGAGGGAACTGACAAACTCGCTCGATGGTTAATGAAAGAAGTGCCCATGTAGAATTCAAGGCAATAAATCAAAAATTTTCTCCATAACTTTTTATTAATATATCTGAATTCTACTTGACAAGTGCCACAATACACTGCCTTACGTAAGTAGACAAACCCTAAATACAACTTAGGACCTTAATTTTTACTGCCAAATCGAATAAACACAATCCAGGAATGAAAAACAATTTTTCATTAACAGTTTAATACAAATAATATTCCTGAAAATTCCAAAAAATAAGCGAATAATGACTGAAAAATGTAACAAACCGCGGGGAAGACTCACTCGAACTTGCCTAGGGTGACCCCCATTAGACTTAGTATACCCCACACCCGAAGTCCCAACCGATAGCACACTCTGATTCTACTGGCTTTGCTATATTTTCTGACCTAGGAAGCTTCCTTAGGTAATACCAAACAAACTAGGGTTTCTTATGAGAGCATAACACTATTGTGGTCACTATAACCCTACGGGAACTCTTAGGACATGCCATAAGACACCTCCCTATTTTCTAGGGCTGCCCTCTTAAAAACCCTAACTAGGGTCGTGCTTGCCACCCTTTAGCCTTATCGGGGGCTGACGCGCCACCTAGAGAGAGGATAGAGAGAGTAGGGCAATAAGGAGAGAGAGAATAGAGAGAGAGAGAAAGAAAGAGAGAATAAGGTGTGTCTAGAATGAGGGGAGGTCTCCTCTCAAGGGATGCTAGATATGCCAACTAATTATGACTCACCATAACAAATAGAAATTCAAGAAATCTCTGAGATGAGATAAATAAATCTGAGTCATCCATCCCATAAATCAGCCATCATGATTTAAAGAAGAATATTAGGAACCTTGTCCCTCGAATCTTTGACCCATATCCACTTCTACTCAAACTAAGATAAGACCAAGAACATTCTAGAATTTCCTTTGTCTCTAAGAAAATTATAGAAAGTCAATAAAGACAAAAGATTTAGTCCAAACAAAATATTTACAACTCCCAAAAATAAGGACATAATCTTTTTCAAAAAAAGATTATCTTAACTAACTTAAATAAACAACTTTTAATAAAATTGTAAATAAAATAGAGAGGAGGGGGGTGTGCCGCCACATGAGTAAAGTGTGGACCCCCCCAAGGTTCCATCCATGTGGTGTGGCACGCATGTGGGGCTGGATCCAAGGACCCCACTTGTGCCCCTCCACACTGTTACAATTTCGTAAATGCCTTTTTTGATGAATTTGCAGCTGAGATTAATTCTAAAAATCCTGAAAAAAATTCTAAAATTCGCAAAAATATTTTTTGCACTGAAAATGAAATATCTAAAAGTGGATTGGAACCAATGGGTCAAGATAAGCGACTGTCAACACACTCCACCTAACCTAGTAACCGTGATTCTCAACTATCTTTCCAAACCAACCCAAGAAGACTCATCACCCACAGTCTCATGCAAGGGCTCATGAATGACATGTCAATTTTGGCTAATAAATAATGGAACCACAATCCTCGAATGTGGAATATATTCCGCCCTCCACCCCCATCCTCCCTCTTAAGAGCAAGTCACGTGCAAATATCATTATAGTGCAAGGGGGTTCTCTCTGCACAACATGTACACATATCCTATTTCAAGGTTGCTTCCTGATAATGCAGTTGTCATGTGTGAAAATTATTGAGGATTCAGCCCTCTCTCACACAGGACTACATCCACACACAGGAGACTACATAGCTCTCCAAGCCTATGTTCTATTCATGTGCATCTCTCCGGCCACAATAAGAGATGACTCTCTGTAAACCCTCAAGGATAGTGCTATATGCCCAAGGGTAACGGTTTTAAACATGACCATGGTCCTAGACTACCAAACCCTAGTTCAGTCAACCATCACATACACTCCCACTGAAGTGTATAATCCACAATAAATGATTTTTACATGCTCTCATAGGCTTCAAAGACCACAAAACCCCAACAGTAAATACGTTGATGATTGCATCATAGCATCTAATGTTTGAATCATATTGCTGACCTACCCAAAACAAGTAGATTACTACAAAACTACAAGAAGCTAAAGAGAGTTCCTAGCATGCATCTCACAATTTTGGAGAAAGAAGAAGTTATTGTTCCAAACACCTTTCCATTATGCTAATGTATGTCCGCAGCTATGGAATGATGCAGGACATGGTAATTCATACTTTTTATTTCTTCATTTATTCAAGAATGCATTTTTAGGATTTATTAGGTTTTAATTTTTATTTTATAAGTATTATAGGGATATTGTGGATATCCATCACCACCTTATTAGTAAGGAGTTGGCCAAAGATTCATACCCATATCTATATATTTTGTGCTCAACATCTTCAAAAGTCACCTCACTTGTAACTAATATGACTACTTTATGTTTGGGTAGCTTCGTATCATGTAGATATTTATGACTCATGTTGTACTAAGCAAATGTTTCTGATACCCAGATATTGAAGGAAGTTAAAGTGATAGGGGACTACATCTACGTTATGGATTAATCACCCATATGACTCATGCCTACCAGGCTCATGTGATACACACGGCTCGTGCTCAAAATGGCTCATGTCACACAGTACACAAAACCCCATGAACTCTACAGAAAATCTTTGAGATCCATACTAAAAAATATTTTCATCTCAAAAGGACTTGGGTCTATATTCTACGTGATGAAATATCTTCCCACAACCATAAATTCCATTTGGCATGATTTACAAATTCTTCTCCTTCGGTTGTTGCTTTTTGTTTGTTCAAGGATTGGAAAGAGGGCGGATTTAATTTCTCGCCTTCCTTTTGCACGATTTCAGTATTTAGCAATTTACTTCTTTTTTGTTAAAAAAATACAAAACACTAAATAAGAAAGTTTATAAAAAAAATACAAAAGACCAAATAAGAAAGTTAATAAAATATTACTTTCTCACTTAATAAACTTACATATTTTTTAATATATTTTGGAATATTATATATATATAGATATATATCTATATAGATATATATATATATATATATATATATATAGGAAAAGATCATGCTAGCCCATGGGCTGATGGAATAGTTCCAAATTGTTTATGGGCTGATGTGATGGTCACAACCTCATTTCGTAATATAATTTTAATATTTTTTCTACAAATCCAAATCACATGAAATTTGAGGCGTTCATTCTTCCAATCAAGGCACACCTAATAAATCGCTTTCCCTTGCTTTAGCTCTAGCTTCGGGGAAACAGTTCTAGTGTGTGCGTCGCTTCACTTGTTATGCTAAGAGAATCTGGTTTCTATGTGTTAGCCATACAAACAAAGAGCAGTGAACGTAAGCTCTACTCTAGCTTGCCCACTTCGCTCGCTTTTGTTATTAAAAAATTATTTCGCAAAACAATAAATTGATTTCAGGGGTATTTTGGTTAATTTATTTTTTACGAATTATTTTTTGATATTTTTATTAGATTTCCTATTTTTAAAGAATAGACGTTCAAATTTTTAAGTGATTTGGATTTGTAGAAAAAAAAAAAAAATTCAAATACGAAATGCAATCGTGACCATTGGATCAGCCCAGATTCAATCTAGGCCATTGGGTTTACACTGTAGCAGTCAGCTAGTGGGCTAACTTCAGATTCTCCATATATATATATATATATATATATATATATATATATATATATATA